CATAAATTTCATACATTTAAGTTATTATATAATAGTTCCATGTTTACAAAAATATAATATTAATAATTTAATTTTAAAACCTTTTAATTTTTCTTAAAAAGCAAAATCTAAAATTTAAAAGTGAAAAAATTATATTTTAAGAAGTAGACATTAAAATATATACATATAAATATACTTGGAAGATAATATAATATATACCTAAAAGAATATAATTCTTTTCTTATATAATTATATTCTTTTAAGTTTATAATATTATATACACTTAAAAGAACATAAAATAACTGAATACTTTTAAATTATAATTGGATACTCAATTATAACTTTTATTAATTTCTTGTAAATGACGACAGCGTAACACTTTTTTAGCTATTTTGTTTATTGTCATGTGATTCGTTAATCAACTAAGAATGCATGAAATAATCCTTTCTTTAGATTTTTATGTACAGTCAGTTATAAATATTGTTTTACATTTCTATAACGTTAAATTGAATATGGGATAGAAAGTGAATATTAAGAAAGAGAAAAAACTTTATTATTTTTACATTGGGTTTTATTAAAATAGAATTTCAAAATATTTTGCCTTCAGACGAAATGGAAATCTCAGGGCATTAAGGGAATTTATAATGTAAATGTAATTTTTTTTCTCCATGAAAGGTGGTTTAGACTAATTAAAAAAAAAAAAAAGAGAGAACCTGATTAAAAAAATATAACAAAGTGTCAGTGATTTATTTACGCTTTTCGAAGATATTTTATTTAATAATAAGTTTGATTGCAACGTTAGACACAAAATAATTTTTGAAACTAATCTGAATGTTGAATTTAGATGTTAGTTTTTTTGAAGAGCTGCTAAAATCATTTTTAAATGATATCTAATAGTGAAATAATTGTCTTTTAAATTATCTTTACGTAATAGTATATAAATAATGATTATCAATTTTTTGATGACTACCTTTTTTCTCTCTAGTTTTTTTTTAAGTTTTTTTTTCTTTTTTAAAGAAATAAAATGACCTGATATATGAACCTTTATATCTAATATATTGAAATGTTAATGAAATTGAAATTTTGTTTATTTTTTGAATTTAATCAATACAGTTGATCATGGTTTTGCAGATAAAGATTTCTTGAAAAGTTATTACAACTACTTAGTAACGAGCATCAACTTTAATAAAGTATAATCTTTTTATTTGCTGTATACCAACATGGGAAAACCACAAATCTACTGGTTGGATGCCTGCAAGTGACGTCATTGTAGGTAAATCAGGACATTTGTCATTTCAGAAGCCAATCGGGTACGATGCGTGACGTTCATTAAATCTTATTTAAATCACATGATTAGGCATAATCACTTCACTTGGAGTGGCAAGTACACTATTACCTCATTTGCAGGTTCATGGCTTTGATGTGGTACCATTTAATGTCTGTCAGAAAATATTTTTTTTGACTTTATATGAATTTTCTTTATATGATATGCATTAGTCGATATTTTTAAGTTATCACATGATTTGAAAATTGAAAAGCATTGATAAGAATTAAAAAGCATTTTTTAAGATAAATTAGTATTTTAAAGAAGTTTTTTGGGAAAATATTGCTGTCTGCAAAATGGAACCTGAATTGTTTTTCAAGGAATCATTTTTCAGAAATAAAAAATTCTACTGTCGTATGTGAAAGGCTGTTTTTCGAAGGTTCTGTTTTCGCATGAAATTGGGCTTTTTTAGCGAATAGTATGCTATTTTTGATAGCTGCTGTGAGTATGCAACAATTACTCATGTTGGGTCAAGTTTAGCCTATTAACCAGCGCCATCTATGTTTTTTCTGAAAATGGTGCAAAAAGGGCAATATAAATAAAAGCCATAGTTTTCCAAAAATGAAAAGCGTTTGTGGTCTAATTTTTTAATAATTAAAATCTAACTAAAAAGTTACATTATCTGGGCTTATAAAAGTATGCAATAAACGAGAACATTGATTTTGATAATTTTAATCTAGGTGGGTAAATGTCGCCAAATTGATGATTTTTTTTAAAAAAGTTCAATATATTTAAAATATTTAAGTTAATTGTCCGTTCTAAAGCCAGATAATTTTTCTCAGCATGACGTCATATTTAATTTAAAATTATTGCTTTTCTCTTCAAGTTTAAGGTATTTAAATGGTGGCTTTTTATTTTCCTGGGCAAAAGAGTTTCAAAAAACGATGTTAAATGACTTCCTTAATAAAAACCAAATAACAAAACATATAAGTTTTCGCATTAAAAGGTACCACTTTCTAGAAATTTATGTCAGGTCTATATCCAGATACTTATACAATATTATTTTAAACCGATGATTATGTATGATTATATTTATTTATCATTAAAGATTGAAGACACGCCAAAGAAAGGTAAACAGCCATTTCAAATGTTCAATAATTAGTTTATAAAGCAGAATCTTTTTATTGGTAAGTTTTAACACTCTTTGTCAAGTCTGTTACAATAATTAGTTATAAAAATGGTTTATTTGCTTAACTAAACTGAATAATATAGCTTATTAGCTTTTTTAGTCTTAATCAAATAATATTTTGATAATTTCCCCTGAATTTTTATGAGATGATTACTTTATTTGAGAAGCTACAGCTTTTAGTTAGATGCACGCACACTTAATCTAACTTTTCTCTTTATAGGAACTTTTCATTTTTATTAAAACTGACAAAATTCCTACACAAATAGTTGAATCGAATAAAATATTCGTATTTTGCTGAGATATAGCTTTAAAATATGCAAACCAATTTCCGTACTATCTTTTAATCATGCTCGAATCTTCCATGTTCTGCATAATGTATTACCATTGATCCGAGACACGCATACTTGTTGCGCATTGATTAAAATTAATAATTCATAAGATTCGAGTCAATTTAATGTGATGTAAATATTTTTTTTTTTCATTGCACAACATTTAATATGTAGCTACTATCATTATTATTAGTACATTAGAGTTAGAAAAATTATAAATTTATTATTTTCATTTTACAATAATGCGAATAAAATATTTTATTTAATACTTTTATCGAAGCATCATTTTGTTACCTAATAGTACAGAACCCG